TACATGAATATTTCTTTTACAGAGCTTGTCTGAGTGTCAGCACCTCATCAAGTGGAACATCGACACGCCTTTTCCAGGGCAGCCATAGAAACCACACAAATCTGAGTTGTTTGCCTTCTGCATTTGCATGAAACAGCTGAGAAACAACATCTGTGGGAGGTGGAAGCGACGGCCAGAGACGGATCATCAAGCAGCTCACATATAACTAACTAGGTAAGCAAGCATGTGACGTAACGGGTGTCTCACCTCATCCTGGCTGGTCTCTACTTTGGGGTTGCTGGCGGTTCTCTTTAGGTTGCTGCTGAGGCTGATGCTGATGGTGGCGTCAGATTTGGAGCGTTGGTGGGTGCGTTTGGAGGGCGAGAGGCTGTGTTCACTCATGCCCTGACCGTGATGGAGGGGTGGGGGGCAGGAAGGGGGAGGGTGCGGCACCTCCCTGCGGATGCGCTGGCTGGAGGGCTTGAGCTCGTCTGAAAGGATGAGTTTACGCAGTTTGGTGCCACGGGAGTGGCGCTGCGTGGAGATGTGCATGTCAGAAGAGTAGGCCCCCAGCAGCCAGGCGCACTGCAGGGAGAAATTGATGCTTTGCCGGCAGCGGTGCACCACGTAGGGCTTGATGGCATCGCCCACATCCTCGTCCATGTGGATGTACATATTGAGCAACTGGGGCAAGTAGAAGTCCACTTCTTCGTTCCGGAAGCTAAAGAGTCGATTGCCGATGTAGGCTTGCACGCCGGGCTCCTTAGAATTGTAAAGATAGGAGATGGCCATGGAGATGTCAAACAGCTTGGACTCAAAGAGCCGCAGGAGCCAGGACTGCTTGGACGAGTTGTTCTTTTGACGGCGCCGCACGTTCTTCACAGGCTCCGCTTCCTCCTCGCTGATCTTGGGAGGTTTTCCTCCATCTGTGGACAGGGGGTGTGCTGTACCGTTCACTAAAACTGGCTCTGAGCTGGCTGAAGATACTTCACCATCAGCCTTCAGGAACTTCACCTTTTGAAGAACTTCCTGGCAGGCTTTCTTAGCCACCTCGGTATCGATGACTAGGCTGAGTTCACCCACTCCCTCGGATATGACATCTAGAGGGGGGCTGGAGGTGGGCAGGCCTTCACTGGTGCTCGGGCTGGAGCTGGTAAGGGGATGAGGGCTAGAGGAAGGAGATGAGGGCAGGGACAGCGAGGAGGTGGTGGAGGTGGAGGAAGCGGATGGGCTCTTCTGTAGCTCCTCGAGCCGAGCGGGGCAGAGCTCCAGCTCTGTGTCCCCCATGGCCACACACTCTCAGGCCACTGCTAAACACAGAGAGACAACAAAACACACTATCAGCAAGCAAGCTTTAGTAATGACAACAGAATGGCAATTACAATGCATTTAAAATGCTGTAATGTGAAACTGATGAGTGAAATAGACTGTTAAGCAGGACAAATGTGGGTTGGGACTTTTCAGTGGCAGATAAATTACCTACACTACCATTTAAAAGTTTGGGGTCAATAATTTTTTTGAAAGAAATTAATACTGTTATTCAGCAAGGTCGCATTAAATGAATCAAAAGTGACAGTAAAGACATTTATAATGTTACAAAAGATTTCTACTTCAAAATAAATCCTTTTCTTTTAAACGTTCTGTTCATCAAAGAATCATATTAAGCAGCACATTTGCTTTTTCATCATTATGATAATAAGAAATGTATATTGACTGGCAATCAGCATATTAGAAGGATTTTATTTTCTGAAGGATCATGTGACACTGAAGACCAGAGTAATGTCTTCTGAAAATTCTGCTTTGCCATCACAGAAATAAATGGCACTTTAAAATGTATTACACTTTGAAATCATTGTAATAATATTTCACAATATGAATGTTTTCCTGTATTTTTGTTTAAAAAAAGCATGCTTGGTGAGCATAAGATACTTCTTTAAAAACATTAAAATAATCTAAGCAATCCCCAACTTTTGAATGGTGTTGTACATGCTGGTGAAAGCAAACAAACATTTAAGACAGTAAATAGGGTCCGTTCGATTTCATTTTGCCTTTAAAATATCAACTTACATACAGGCCTAAACATCTGAGAAATCAGAGAACAAAAACTGAACTGTTACTAAAACTGAAGTTTTGCCCAACATGTGACCGCACACATTGTAAACAGCCATTCAAATATAAAATTCACAATAACCCAGAGGAACAGGCTTTACAAAGCGCCACTTCCCCAGGGTCACGACGTCCCACTGATCCACAGCTACGCAGGACAGTGCCATAATCCGCCTCCAGCAGATTACCTCACCATCACCAGCAGGCCAATATCAGATAAAGCAAGGCATCAGTCTCAGATTCCACAAAGCTGCTGCATTATAAAAACCCATTGTGCTTAAAACAGATCAGGCTGTCAGAAAGAGGCAGTTCACCATATAAAGCTTAGTCACCTCCAGAAGTACCTGTGGTTCTACTTTCATGTTGTTAACAGTTAAAAACAGTTAACAGTCCTCAAGTTGACAATGGAAAGTCAGACAAGTTACAATGATTAGTTTAGCTAAATGAAAGACATATCAGCTTGAGCAAAATTGTTTGTTCTTAGACCACTGAAATTTAAGAACAGGAACAGAAACTGTACCAGATGAAATCAAAACTGATTCTGAAAGCGATGAGATTAAAGCACATGTCAAATGGTGGAGACTGAGTCAGCCTTGAGGAAGATGCCAGCTCGCCTCTCCTCTCACATATCACATGCTGATTCCATCTCTGGTGGATGGATTACTCTAAACAGACAGTTTGTATGTTGTTCTAGCTTGCCAGCTCTTTCTCCACGTTAAATTCTGTGAAACTGAAAAACACTGCTCTACAACAAGCCTCAACTGATAACAGTAAGAGTTGCAACACTGATTCACCAAATCAAACCACAAGCCTACTTCTATTGTTCGGTATCAAAATGTTTCACTGAACTTCTCTGATTGCAATGGAAAGAGTAAATTCAATCAGCCTTTGCCCCGAAATGTGAGAGATCTAGAAGAACACAAAACATGTAGATCATGAACGATCAGTCTCAAGAGTCCCCTTCTGCCAACACCCACAACACTTTCCACAATCCAAAACCATTATTATCTAACTATTTGATGAAACCCTTGAGTAACTAGATTACACGACTGTCACAGTATAAATAAACCATGAAATCCAATAATCTTGATATCAAACACACTGAAATAAAACCAACAAACTTAAAGCCAAGTGTGTAAAGACAATCAGTAGCTATAATTTGGATTGATGTGATGCATCAACTGGTTCGATCAGGACATAATGATCTAGATTAACTAAAACAACAACGATGAACTAGTGAATCAACTTGCCATAAAAACACACTGTCAGTGTTATTTCTTTTTATGTTACGTACGTTAATTAAGTCTACAGACAACTGAGAGCACAAGCACGTCAAGCTAAATTTTTGCAGTTATAGCTGCCAAAACTCGTAATGACACCCATATTTATACTCTGATCTGCTTAATCAAAACATTACTTGTTTTGTCCTATTTCAGACGTTTAAAAAGTCAATCAGTCAGATGACTTTTGCACTCAAGTTAGCATCTGAGCATGCTTAGCTGAAGACCTTTAAGAAACGTCGACTACTTTTCTCTCTTGTAGGGCTCAAAGAGATTTTTTCCTTCAAAACAGTATAATAGTATGTGTGCTGAACAACAACATAATTTAATTAACACTAGTTATTATTAAATGTTCAACTGTTATGAAGGCCTGAAAGGATAAGCCTCGTAAAAACACAAACGGATGCTACACTTAGCCAAGCAGCTAACGCAACGTCTCTAACGTTACTTTAGAACGTTCTTCTACTTTTGAACCGACCCAAGGAAACATAAAAACATGTGACTTACCTCAAAATAAACCGGGTGAAGGCTTAAATGATCGGTTTATCTGTATTTTAACTGCCCCATTTGGGATCTACGGCTCTCCTGTTGCTGAATAACCGGTGTGGTTCGCTAAGAATTAAGTGAGTGGAGAGATGACACGCCGGGGCTGCCCACATCAACTGCCTGATTCCAGCATACAACACACACAGCCTGTGCCTCAAAACACAGAGAGCTGCCTACCAAGACAACATTCTTGGGCATTTAGGCAATGCCAACAAATGCTGTCTAAGCAGGACGCCCACCAGGCTTTGAGACACAGCTAAAGAGGGTGACATTTTACATACTTGCTGTCCTTTTATAGCATGTTTACACATTTTTGAAAGGGTTAAAGACATTAGCTGTTGTAAACTCAAATAAACTGAAGCTAGTCGTTTGCCTCTCAATTATATAAAAAAATATTAGTATAATAACAATTGCTAATATTTTTATATTCCACTTTTTACAACTATTATTATTTTTATAAAATGTATGCTTGTGTGTATAATCTGGTTGAGTCAATAGATGATATTTAATTTGATATTTGATGCATATTAGTTTTTACTAACCATTTTACATATTCCTCCTATTTATAGTGGTATTGTATTTATTATTACAGAACATTGTGGGGGGAAAAAACACTTTTTAATAATACTTTTTAAGTAAGTTTAAGTAATATTTGTCCCCGTCTTCAGACTCGGAAAGATAACTTTTTATACTTGTGCACTACAATGACAATAAGCAAAACTAACCCAAGTAGTGCTGTAATTCCTTGTGTTTGTTGTTAAACAAAATTGCATTTCTCTTTTTCTGCATCTTGATAAGAAAAGCATGCCTTAAAAATAACATGTAAAAATATTCACTCCCGTTATTACACTCGCATGTCCATTTTGTTCTTTGAGGGTTTCTTAAGCACGGACACTCGAAATACAACGATTGCTTTGTTTTAGAATGTATTCCTAATACAATATTTTAAAATGTGTGCACGTATAGTGATGCTGATTGTGTGCACTCGCTCTGTGCACTTGCACAACGCGTTTAAAATCTACTTTGCAATTCTAATGATTTGGAAAGCGCTTACAACAACAAATGAGAAAGCCTTTGAATTCACTGGGATGCAAAATATTTATTTCAAAAAATTTTGAAAGCATATAAAGACAATGAAAATTAGTTTTTGTAGTTAAGATGTGATTTACAGCATAGTTCACTCTTGTAATTGCTAATTGACACATAATAAGATTAAGGATTTGGTCCATACATAGATTAAACGTGATCATGATATTGATGATATCTCTATTGAGAAAATGGGAATAATAATTCTGCTCCTTTGAACATAATGGTTTGGCCCCAATTTCATAACCAGATATCAGAAGTGCAGTCTCCACCAGGATATCTGAGCTCATGGGCAAGTGCAGGACCATCTGGTTCTGCTCCGAAATCCACAAGGAAATTCTCGTTGAGCTTCAGGCCGCCTTTATCTGTGTCCACGTCAATCTGCATCATGACTGACCCCTCCCTCAAGAGAAATAAGACACATGTTGCAGCATAATAAACAAACCAGAGGTTACTTCTGAAACCATTTAAACAGCCTCATTTCTTAAGCTCTACACACAATACTGAAGTAAAATTACAAATAAAGATCCTTTTGTCTCACTTGACGAGGTCAGGGTAGAACTGCTTGTCCCAGGCACTGTATAAAGAGGTGGTGACGTACAGACGTTTTCCATCCAAGCTCAGCTGGAGCATCTGAGGGCCTCCCTGCACACGTTTTCCCTGATGAGGAAAGGAACGTTTTAACCTCCAACAAATGATGTGCTCTAATTGCTCTGTTTAGGTCTGCATGACCTAATGATTTGTAGTACAATAAACTGGGTCATCTGTCAATTAGTTAGTTACCAACAGCTTTAGGCTGTTTTCCTCCACATAATGGCTAACTCAAATGTGTACACAGAGCTCACAGGAAGCATACTTGGAAAAGAAACAAAAAAGGTACCTTTAGTATCCGTGGGGCAGGCTGGCTATCCAGTTCTTTGTCCTCCAATACTTTCACTGGTCCATCTTTTAAAATGCTGCCTGCAAGGAAGACCTTGAAAATGCATTTCATGAAATTAAATACAAGTTCTACTATCTTGACACTTTATTTGTCTTTGACATGATTTTAGAAATGTATACAAAGGTGTCTTGATCCTGCTAATCCAAGCTGTCTTACCTGACCAATCATGCGTGGATTCCTCCTGTCAGTGATGTCATACTGTCGAATGTCTCCATGCAGCCAGTTACTGAAGTACAGGAAGCGATCATCCAGTGAGATCAAGATATCCGTAATGAGACCTATGGCAAAAAATACATGAGTAAATGAGTAAATGGGGGGGGGGGGGGGGGGGGGGGGGGGCTTTTTTAAAGATTGTCAAACTGGAGTACAGGAAAAAAAATGAAAGGGGGAAACATATACATTACATTACACAAACAATATTTAGAAATAAGACAAATTATTATTAATTCAGACTCTTTTTTTTATTTTTACCTTTTGCCATTAAAGTAGATTGTTGAATTGGGGCTCAGGGAAAATATGAGAGAGAGAAAAAATTTAGAGAAACCCCCCAAAAATTACTAAATGTATTTTTAGGGCTGTATATATCAAAGGGTTTAACACAGTATTTTCTAAACATTTCCTACATTTCATATTAGTTTCATTCTTTTCAAAACTAGTCAGAAATAAACTTAAACTTTAAAATAATCATTATTCATAACTCTTTTATTCTATTGACAGCCCTAGTTTTTTTTTTTTTAAAGTTTATATATATATAACACTAACAGTATGTAAAAAATATACAGCAACTTTTATGTTTTAGAGAGGGGGTCCTTTGCTAAGGGGATCATTGTATTTAGTTACTGATGTCAAAATTGTTCTATGGTTTGGAAATTACATTGTACATATATGGTAATACTTATTGTTTGATCATTCCCTGAGTTAAAATAATAAAAAAAACTACATAAAAAGTAAAACTTAAAAAAAAAAATTCTAAAAGCATTCACCTGGCATTTCAAGAAGAGCCCAACCTTCCACTTTTTTGCTTGGAATATGGATGACTTTCTCTGCTGCCCAGTCCCCTTTCTGTAAAATGAAAAATCTGAATCTAAAAGCATGTATTGCTTAAAAATTTAATGAAAATGCTTTTTATGTACTTGCCGGAGTCTTGTAGAAGCGGAAGACGGTGCTCTGAAGCGCACAGCCCACGAATCCTTCAGCCGCAGCAGGGTCATGCAGGAACCGGATCTCCAGAGGAATAGCACCCTCTTCCCCCAGATCCAGAGTCTGAATCCGCTTGTGTGTGGTCCAGTCCCACACATGGAGGCGCTGTCCATAATGACCTACAAACAGATCTGATCATCACTGCCAGTCAGCTACAACGACTCTTGAACTTCCTCTTGAATACACACATACCAGCTTTGACATCTGCAGGGTTGAAGCCGTTTCCCAATGCTTTGGGTGTTCCCCATTCAGTGCTGATCATGACGTTGTGGCGAGGCTGGTACCAGAAGTCATAACCAAAGGGTGCTGCTTCACCTGGCTGCTCCCAGTTGCCAATCACTTCAAAAGTCTCGCCATCCAACAACACAAAACCACCTTAAAAATGACCATAAATAAAAGGGTAAGCCTAAAATGTGTATTGAAAATAAATAGAGGTGAACACAGCATCTTACCCTTGCCATTGCCAGAGGGATCACCCATGGTACTGATCATGATTTGGCCACTGCCTAAGCAGTGAGAAGTGTGGGGGTTGGCAAGGCCGCATTTCCAGAACAGATCTATGGGCTCGACTATCTGGAGGAGGAGAGAGATGGAAAGAATTCATGGTCTTGGCAAGAACAAAACATTCTTAAAGTCAACAGTCATGTATTAAGGGGCGGTCACACTTGATGTTAAGCATTATGTCGTAGATGTTAAACAAAATCAATTAATATGAGTAAAAGGACTTGATGTCATGCTTCCGGGCTTTTAAAGGTTCTCAAGTTTTTTTGTTTTTTTTTTACAGAAATTACAGAAACAAATACTGGGGGTAAACTATGGAGCTCCACACATGACCAAAATAAATTTATCATGGCCACAAATTAAGAATTTGTTCTTTTATTCGAGGGTATGAATTAGTACTACTACATGGCCACGATTTACAAAATTAGGGAACGTATTAGTATAATGTGGCCATGATTTACTAAAACACGGGAATTAATTCTTAATTCACTGCCATGATTTACTAAAATGAGAGAACAAATTCTTAATTTGTGGCCACAGTTTAAATAAAACAAGGGAACTAATTGATAAGTCATGGCAACTAATTCTTAATATATAGGGCATATATTTTAACCAAAAATATTGCTTTAGACTTGTATTATAGATCAAGAAGATATGAAAACATCAACATATTTTGTTTGATTTTCAGCCAAATGGTTCATCTTTAAGACTGTGACCTCCATTGCTCAAATGTCTTTTCTTGCCTATTTGCTTGCCTGAATTTACCAAACATGAAGTATCAAGTACTATAGCATGCAGTTAAAATAGATTACTAACCCAGATGTTCATCCACAAAGTTAACACCATCACAATAAGGGTATTCCTACACAAACAGCTCTTACAGTATATAACTGAGTGTTTACTTAAATGAACCTTATGAAGCCGCGGGGCCCGTGGATCCGTCCCTACATCAACGACGTAGATACGGGAGGAGATCAGGGAAGGCAGAATGAGACGATTGCGTCTTTTGGAGGGATCATCATGACAACTGCTACAAGCATTCCAGCCAGAATGGTGTAGCTCATCCTTTAGATTAGGCATGGGCAGCCTGTGAATCACCTACATTACAAAATAAATGCTACTAACGTAGGTGTTATACTAGAAATATTAAAAGGAAACGTCTTGATGCCACATTTGAATCCAAAATAGTTTATATTTATACATCATATTTGCTTTTACCTTGCAAAAATTGGGAGATTGTGGATTGACATCAACAGTTGCAAGATAGTCAGGTTTCTGAATGTCTGTGTTGCGGTAAATACACGGTAGGTAGACAATCTCTTCTCGAGGCCCTGTAGGAAGAATTTATGTTTAAGTTTAGAGTCTAAATGCAGACTGATCTTTGTGTCTTATAATTGATCAATAAATTCCATAAAGGGTGTACCATTTGTCTCCACAATAGTAGTGCACTAAAAATAAAAATTCTGCTGTTAAGTGTTTTACATGCTTAAATACACTAATTAAAATGAACAAATGTATCCAATTTATTAAAAAGTTAATGTTTATTCAACTGTATAATTTTAAAAATCTATTATTATTTTTTATTAAGTAAGCAAATTCAAAAGAGATAGGAGATGCATCTCAATCAGCCCCATAGATTGTGAATAAGTATATCATGTACACAAGTTTAGGCACTGGATCACTACGCATTGGGATTGGGACACTGAAGCAGTAAAACAGTAGGCAAACCAAAAAATTCAGAACAATGCCAATTTACAAGTGAGGAGGACCTCTGGTGGTGGGGAGAAGGAGCTGCAGGAATAGAGGTTATGCAGTGATAATAGAGCTCAGACAGTGACAGTCTCACTCAGTCTCCAGTGCAAAGGTCACTGCTACCTTGTAGTAGGCCTACCTTGCAAGTTGCAACTATGTATTACCAACTCATATGTTAATATAAACTACCACTTTATTGTAAAAACAATATGCTGTCTTATTATTTAAAGCAGCTCACCTTTCATGGCGTCTAAAGGGGTTTTATATCCTGGTCCACATCCTGAACAGGTTGAAGCTGCAAACAGAGAAAGAGCATATGTCACATCTCAAATATTAATATGAGAGTTACACTCAGTTTGAGCAATTATTAAAGCATTAATAATTGCTCATTATTTAAGTGTGGAGGGTTTGATGATCTCTTGACCTACATACATAGTGCACCATCATATAAGTGTGAGTCCTAAATTCCTGTGTTCATCCTTAAAAGGCATGAATGATGAATCGCCGAGTGAACTACTGGATACTACTAGATAACACTTTTTACTGCCCTGTAAATGTTTGAAAACAATACACATACAAGCACACAAACCAACTACAACAGATGGGCAATATCACAGTCTAGGAGAGGACACTGTGTCTTGCCAAGGATTGTTCAACAGCCTTCCCCTGATAGCTAGACATGTGTTTATGGGTTATGTGCAGGTCAACCCATAAACTGACCAACCATGTCCAAAATCAAAAGTATATAATAATTTTTTTTCAAACTTATTAACATAATTATTTCTGTATTGCACGACATTAATATATACTAGAACTTAAGCAAATAATTGTTTTCAACCAAATGAAACAAATTTGTAATTACATTAGGAATTTAACATTTTTTTACATGCCTCAGTTAACACGTTAAAATCAAAATTTAATGTATTCCGAATCCACAACATTGCACGAATTCTACCTGAATGACTTTGACAGGTAGGCCTACAAATAACACGATTACGCCTAAATGAAAAGAATTTGTAGTGAAGCAATTCTTTATTCCAGACTGAAGCCGCTGCGTACTTCAGATGGAAATGTCGAACGCTTCAATTAAAGTCTGAGCCACAATGCTAGCTAGGTTTAAAAGTGCACTAGGAGACACTCACCCATACTGCTGCTGTTGCTTCCACAGGCGGAAGAAACTCACGGACCAAACAAAGCGCTGCGGACGTGCAGAAAGATTTTATGTCGCTATTGAATTAACTCTTTCAGTGATGATACCACATGGGATTGTGAGATGATCCTTAAAACCACACCCAGGTATTCGACTGCAGAATAAAACGAGCAAATGTTGTTTGTCACCTCGGTCTCAGGAAATCAGCCCCCAAACAGGAAACGCGCCCCCTTTCTCGGGTATTTTGCCCTACTGGGTAACTTTCTCTCAAAGGTAAAGCACCTTGGTCAGTTCAACAACAAATCGCCAAACTACTGTTAAAGATCGGATTTTTTCCATTCTTAAATAGTAAATCTACAGCTTTTCAGGAATATGGGTAATTCGGAACTGAATTCTAATGATCTTTATGTTCAAATCAGTTCCTGAATTTGAATTAAAGTAGCAAGGGTGAAGAACTAATTCCAATTGCAAAGCGTTTTTACAGCATGTTCAGGTTTAAAACATTTTAATGAAAAACTATCCTATAAACGTGTATAAAAAATTTGGGATTTTTTACCCCTGAATCGGTAAATTATGAATGTTTGAAATACCATTGCCACCTATATCTTTTTGTTACATTTTAATTCACTTTCATTTTAGGCATCAGTGGATGAACATTACATTTCCCAAAATGGTTTAAATGAACCTAAATGAAGATTTAATTGTTCATTTTTAAGTTATCTGAAAACAATATGATGGAAATTTTGTGGTGCTGCATTCCTGAAAAAAAATTCAAAACGTTTAGAGAAATGTATCTAATCTGTTAAGTATTGCTTGTGTCAGGGCAAAAACAGTCAAATATAATCAGAATCAGTCACAATTATTTTTTTGTAATTATTTATGCTTTGTTACAAATCAATATCCTCTGCTCAGTGCTGTCGCTTCTGACTGTCCTGTATGAATCACTATTACATAACGTTCAGGTAATGCGCATGCTCTTCAAAATAGTGCAAACTTGAAGGTACTTGGTTTTTCGGGAATCTGAGTGCAGATGCTGATCTCTGGCAGGCAGTGTGGGAAACCTCTTCCTGTCCACATTAAAACAAAGCAGGGAAGCATGGGGAAAAGAGTGGGCTTTATACACAAACTGAGTTTATTTACAGTTTATTCATGAGGAATAGTCAAAAATGCCAAATCACACACATAACACTTTTACAGTTTCATCAAAACAACATCCAAAAGACCCCCATTATATGAACTCCCACTTACCTTCATAATCAGACTGTTTACATAAAGCCCCACTATTTATTACATGTAAATTACATACAAAATTGTTGCAGCGAATGGAGATGCAATCAAAGTAAGCCTTTACAAACATGAAAGGGCACCAATTATGTGCTACAGAACATCTTTGAATTGAATGTCAATGAATGACACCTGGAGTGCAGTTACACCATCCTGTGGTTGCTACGGTAAATTCAGATGCTGAAATCAATACTGAATATACATACTTATCCCACTCCATTCACTGCTGCTGCTGCTGCTGCTGCAATAACAATGCTAAGACTCTTCAGCGTGTCTCACGGTTTATTCGGTCTGGAAGTAGATAAATAACCAAAATGGAAGAACTTTAAGACAGTCGGAGCCTGCTGCCAGTCAACATGCTGAACTTTAGAACAGCAATAAAATGTAATAACAGACTCTGTAAAGCTATGAAATAAAAGTTGTATTGTTCTGTAATGGCCTATCTAACTTCAGGAGCTATAGTAAATGGTTACTAAATTAAATTATTTTAAATAGCACTTAGAATGACTGAAACTTAAGCAGGCACAAAAACGCTGATTTACTTTCAGAGGATGTCGAATTGAAATGCAAATAATATCCGTCCATAAACAAAAAAAATCCTAACACTGAGGGAGCTATTGGACCGTTTTATGCTAGTGAATAAACAAAAAGAACGAACAGTAGAAAACTTTGCAAAAATCAATCATGCAATGTCTATCCTGTAAATATATACAGTATTTATCATTCAAAAAAAAAATAAAACGCTGATTTACTTTCAGAGGATGTCGAATTGAAATGCAAATAATATCCGTCCATAAACAAAAAAAAATCCTAACACTGAGGGAGCTATTGGACCGTTTTATGCTAGTGAATAAACAAAAAGAACGAACAGTAGAAAACTTTGCAAAAATCAATCATGCAATGTCTATCCTGTAAATATATACAGTATTTATCATTCAAAAAAAATTTTTTTTACATTTTCACTCCACCACACAGTAGGATGTAAATTAAATATCCACAGTCACAGTCAGCCTAAATAGGTTTGCCTGACTTCAAATCATTCTGTTCAACATCATAATGTCTCTGTAAATCAATTATCACCTGTTTGCCGAGTCCGTTTGGTAAGCGTTAGCATCCTGACCAGATTCTGAGAATTGATCTTGTTCAGAGTTGTGTGAAGGAGGCTCTGATTCAGGGGATGAATGTGAGACATCTGTGGATTCACTTGCAATTTCCAAACATTCATCAGTTCTTTCCTTTTGTTGTTCTGTGTTTTTTATTTCAATTGGCATTGCATCTTCATCCTTTGTTTGACTGACTTCTTCATCCTCTGGCTCCTGTGTCAAATCAATTTTCTCTGTTACTTGGCTCACTTTGTCCATTGGCTCTTCTTCTTCTTCCGAGTCAAGATCTACAACTTCGGGTTCAAGTGTGGCCACCGACAGCTTATTTAACAGCTCCAAAGGTGAACCAGGCAAATCCGTATGTGCTTCCTGATCAGGAAGCAGGCGAGCCAAGCAGAATGAGTGTTGAATAAATTCAGGCCTACCAGAGAAGCAAGACATGGCCTCTTCCAACCAGGATACGAGAAGCTCCACCAGATCTTCACGCTGAACCCCAGATGCACAATTGATAGGTCGTTGTGCCCAACGAGCTAGAAGTAACCTTTGCAGCACAGGTCGTACACACATCTCTAGAGGTTGATGTCTGCCCGTACAGCCAGCTGGAACTATGGCAGGGAAGGTTTTGCTGCTATTGACTGTGGATATGATGCTCTCAGATGTTTGGCTATGATGGCTATCCATAACCAGCAGGGCATCATTTTCATTCTGTGAGTCGAGATGCTGCTTCCACACTTTGGTGGCCCAAATTTCTAGCTCTTCCGCTGCACTGAAACCTTCCTCCTTGGCCATAAGTAGGACTGAGTCTGGTGGGCTTCTGCTCAGCGCATTTGTGCTCTGACTTGTGAAGAGCACTGCAGGTAGCATTGTACCATTTGCGAGCATTGAAAGGTAAATCTTTATGAAGGGCTTCCCAAACCCAGTAAACTGAAAAGCAGTCTCTCTGTTTATTCTGGTATTCACATTCAGCATTTTAAAGTCCACAAAAACAGAAAGCTGGTCCATAGCACCAAAGACACACTGTGGAATGTTGTTTGTCTTTATTTTACTGTGCACCAACTCTGTGAAGCGATGGCAGTTTTCCTCCATGGCATTAGGGAGTTCCCGATATACTGTGAAAGGGGTATCCAAGCCCAATTTGTGCAGCATCATGAAGCTCACAGCCCACTCGTATGAAATACGGAAAGAATTTATCTCATTGGTTTGGCTTTGGAGCTCTGAAGCTTTTTCAAATAGTTTTGCCTCATTGATTGGACGCTGCTGTTCCCGTTGAGTCAAAACCCACTCCACCAGACGATCAACGGCCTCTCCACAGCTCGTGCTGCTGCATTCATTTAATTGATTCTCTTTGTCTTGAAGCCAAGTCTTGATGAGCTGAGGTTTGGTTTCCATTTCTTTAGCTGCTTTCTGGACCCCGGAGCACAGTGCAAGGAGTAGTATTCGACGCTGATGAATAGACAGAGTCTCCTCTCTGTTTTTCACAGGTTGTGTAAGTGTATTGGTTACCGTTACCTCTACCTTCTGTCTAGCCCCTGTTTCACATGGCATGTCTTCATCGCTTTCAGTCCTCTCAGATTCTGAGTCAGTATCTTCATCTTCCAGAGGGGCCATTTCCTGGTCCACGTCTTCATCTAGACCAGCATTGGCGCCACTTGAGTTTTTTATGTCAGCTGAAGATCTGTTCAGGCCTCTTTCCAACATTTCAGTTCTGTATTTAAGTCCAGGCTCTGTGCCTTCCCTGGAAGGAAAATAGTGGGTCACTTTCCAGAATCTGTATAACATGGAAAATGTGGCAACTTAAAATTTGCTAACTGAAAAAATAAGCCATTTTCGCACATTACTGTTAGCTGCATAAACTGCATATTCTTTCATAATTTTTACATTTAAGTTTAATCAAAAAGATGCATGCAATGACTAACTCTGAAATTAAATGTTAAATTAGGTGTAACTAAATTATTTGTTCTATTTTAAAATGTATCTACCTAAGGTTGCAATTTTTAATCACACCATTGGTTTCTACAATACTTACCTCTTGGCATCAACAAATCCCACTTTTGGGTTACCTGTAGAGGAAAAAAATTATAATCAATTCTAACATCAGTTATAATAATCTACGACAATGAATATAAACAATGTGTTTTTTATATTTCATGTTAAAAATATACAACACAATGCATTATCACTTCAAATTAATGCATGCCAATTAAAAAGCTGTTTGAATATGGTAAATTCCTTAATTTTGTGCAACATTTGAACAGAGAATAAACATTCGGAAATACATTGATTAACATTTAGTGTCAGTATTTGAGCGTTATAACCTTGGAAATTAGGTGAGAAACCATGGAAGTCCCAGAAGCAGCAAGAACGTTTGCACAGATTCACACGGCATGCTGTGCAGCCATATACACTCTCATGACGCATGTTTTTCAGGTTGCAAACTTTACATCTCCTTGTCCTACGGGTAATTTTGGCTAATCGATGTCTGACCCCTTCTTGCATGTCCGGATTTTCTTTTTTTACAATCTGCTGCTCAAGCATACTATCGTGGACTTGGTTCTGGCGAGCATATCTTGCGGCACACTTGGCCAGCTGGTACCCCAGACGTTTACGGTAGATGGCCTGGGAGAAATGTCCCCCCTGAAGCCACCCGGGTGGGTTGTCTTTGCGGGTCTCCCGTAGGACAATGAAAGAGTTGATGATGCTCAAGTTGACAAGGAACCAAAAGAGACGCCGCCAATTGGTGTCGAGAACCAGTCCACCGAGTTGGTTGCACGTCAGGAGTTGATTACAGATGTCGACACCACGCATGTTGTCCTGGAGCAGCTTGAAGGCCTGGGGTCTTTCAACAGCACAAAGCTCTCCTAT